CCAGTGCACTGGCGGGTGAACTTCGCCATGGCTGACCCCCCGGCGCCGGCGGCCCCGTGGGCGAAGATGAACTCGGACAAGGAGGCGTCAATGCTGGGCCGCGCGCTGCTGCTCTCTGCGCAGGACAGCACGCGAGCTCTGGCCGCGGACAGCACGGAGCCTCGCCGCGGCGAACGACGCGGCAGGCGCAGGAACAACAAAAGACCTGGGCACGTCTGGTCGGTCCTGCGCGGCCGCGGCCATGCGCAAAGTCACTGCAGTTCTTCGCGGGCCGCGCGGCAAAGCGAGGCCTCTGTTCAAGAAGTCCATCAGGAAGTGATTCTCCATTTTGTTGCGCAAAGCGACGGGGGTCGCATCCAGACCGAGGAGGACAACAAACGCGAAACGTAGATGGTGCGCGGCGTAGCGCACGTCGACGAGCTCATGGAGCACGCGGGAAGCCTCGCCCTCTGTCGCGAACACGCCTGTCGCGAGCATGGCTTCCTCGCACGCGGGGCACATGCGGCCGCGGCGGCAGAGGCGATCCTGGAAACTGCGCCTGGGGAAGTGCAGGAGCATCTGTCTGTGGTTGAAGGCTACTTTTTCGCGGGGGTGCTTCATCTCCCATCGACACACGGGCGGTTCACCGCGGATCCGGACGTAGACGTAGTTCCGGCGGCCAGCAGGCGCCATGTCAACGAATGGTCGGACGGCAACGTCTTTGGGATGCGACGCCACCGCTGGGACAGAACCGGCCATTCGCACTCTGGGGGCGCGGCGAGGTGAGCGCCGAACGCTTCAAGGAATAAGCATTTGAGGCTTCCGGGGCAAACCCCGCCGACAATGAAGAGCAGGAATGGCCCGTGCATGGGGGCGGTAGAGATAGCGCTGAAGCTGAGACGCGCTCTGATCCAACGCGTCTGCCTAAAATCCTTCGGAGAAAAGGCGCCCCAGTCCTCGTCGGGCAGGTGCACGGGCAAGCATGCAGCTGCTGGGACGCGGTCGCAAGTGCACCCGAAAACTCCCCACGCGCACTCCACGGCCACGAGGTGCCGCCCGCGGAGCCAATCCGTAATTTCATCCACGGGTTGATCGTCTGTTCCGATGGCGCACAGTGCGCGACCTGGACCCTTGAACAGGCATTTGAAGAGGCATTCGAACAGATTGACGGACCTGGCGAACTTCACGTTCGCATGGCCACCCCACTTCAGCAGCACTCGGAGAGAGCACTCCCCTGCGAGCCCGTTGCAACTTACGATGCGGCGGCCGTAGGCGGGGCCATTAGCCTGGCAATTCTGGCACGTACCACTGCACAGACGCTGGCGACGAGGCGGGTAGCCTCGCACGTCGAACTCGGCGGAGTCCTCGAACGGCCAGGGGCAACATTTGATGCATTCCTGGCGAGGGTCGCCCGGGCGGCAGGGAGAATTGCACCGATGACGCAGTCATGCCGTGGGCCTGGTGTTCCAGGGAACTCGCCTGGCATTGAATATTCGACGTTGTAGGCGCTGCGCGGCGGATGGTCTACGGCGAGAGCGATGCGCGCGCGAGGTAATCCGCGCATCTGGTATTCTATCAGGCGGACGATTCACCGTCGGCGCGCGCAGAAGTCAGTCTTCAAGAAGGCAATCCGGGAGTCTGGCGCGGAAGACTCGGACTCCAACGTCCGGTCGGTCAGCAGCTGATGATCTGGGAAGAAGGGCGGGCTGCATCTTAGGCCAACACGGACTGCACGCGAGCGCAATGATAAACGCAGGCGGCCCTTTGCGGCGAGCGAGTTCCAGACACTTGACGCGGGGTCGTCGGAGATGACGGGGGGGGGCCAGGGACGCCGGAAGGAAGAACAACCCGAACGCCCCTGGCAGGTTGGCCAGAACACTTGGCAAGGGCCCCGCACAGGTGACGCGGGGACGCCGCGTCGTCGACTGCGCTCGGCGACAAGATCTCAAGCGTTCGCCCACCATGCGGCAGCACATGTTCACGAGCCATTCGTTGGACAAGCGCCCGCATGCGCGCGCGCGGCTCAGGCGGAGCAGGCACTGGCGGCACCGCCACATGTGCCAGATGTGACCGCCGTTGACCAGAGCGCATCGGGGCTCCATCCGCGCCCTCCCGCAGGGCGCCACAACGGATGGGATAGCGTCTCGTAGAAGGAGAACAAGGGGCGAGGATGCCGAAGTGCACTCGTGGAGCGCAGCTGGATCGCTACAGGGCGCGGCTCGGCGCGACCGCCGCTTTGGGCGTCGACGACGGCGGCGAGCTCGCTGATTCCAGGGCCCCATTTGAGATGGACAGCTGCGTTGGGGCCTGGGCGGCTCGCTGCGCCGAGGCGTTTGACGAGGCATCGCGCTGCCATGGGATCTCGCGCTGAACGGAGGCGTCGGCGTCTGGCGCCATGCTTGCGCACCTTGGAAGGGGGCAGGCAATCACCGACTCGTAGCTCCTTGACGCGACCATGGCTCCGGACCTCGTGGACTGCGAAAACAAATAGATCGCCGCGGCGGCGGCCGACGGCAGTGAAGCCCTTGAGGCGCGGAGCGTTCGTGGCCGAGTTGCGGAGGGGATGCCCTTTCGCATCGGTGGCATGCCACGTGGACCGGCACACGCTGAGAAGGGCAGGGTGGAGGCAAATGGAAGAAATCGGCGAAGCAAACATACATCCCATTTGCCGCTGTCGCAGCATAGCGCATGTGGCTCGCGAGGGAACAAGCGCACTGAACACGGCGGGCAACTCCGAGTCGCGTCGCCGACCACGAAGGGTGCGTCATCAAGGCGCGGGCATCCGCTCGTGGCACACTCCCAGCAAGCCCCTGCGGACTCCCCTTGGTCTTCGGCGAATACGTCTCTGGATAATGCGAGGCCGCATCGGGCGCAGGTGTTTTCCAGCCGAGACTGGGTCTGGCCAGATGACTGAGGAGCACTCTGCGCGCACAAGGCGCATATCCGATCCGCTCGTCTGATTCGGTGCCCGTTGAAACCTTCCCGAGGGAGGTCGATGTCACAGCGAGAGCAATGCAGCTAAGGGACGCTACGTCGCCCACGACCAGAGGGCCGTTTGCGGACTGGCAAATGTTGGCTGTCGTCGCCAGCACGGCGCGCACGACGCGAGCGACGGAAGTGTAGATTTGCGAAGAACGCAAGTGCAGCGCCAGGGTAGAGCCACGCTCTTGAAGCAACCTTTCGAAAGCCAGGGAACGCGGGTCGATTCAGCCCAGACGGCCACGGAGAAAGGATTGGGCGAGGTGGCATGCATAAGGAAACACTGGATGCCAGCGTCGCGTCTGCGGCGCACCAAGCAGGGAGGGGCCGGGTGGCCGGCATTCCAGCGCGCGTGAGTGCGCGCGCGTGCGATGCGAGGCACTCGGGGTCACGCGGGGCTGTGGGCCCTTCATGTATGCGTATGTATGCGGGGTCGTTGGGGTCCGTGTCCGGTGGTCCCATGCTGCCGGCGGCTCGTTGGCGGCGCTCCAGAAGGCGGGGACCTGGTGGACGGCGCTCGGGCGCTCGTGCGCGCAAGCATGGTGGGGCCCTTGGGTTCTGGAGGCTGCGCTCCGAAAGGAGGGAGCCCGGTGGCTGGCGTTCTGGCGCGCGCGCGCGGGGCGGGAGGCCCTTGGGGCACCGTAGGGCCGTGGGCCCTATATGTACGCGCGCGTGCGCGAGCTCGCTGGGGCCCTTGTCCGGCGGCCCCACGCTGCCAGTGGCTCGTTGGCGGTGCTTCAAAAGGCGGGGGCCTGGCGGCTTCATGCGAAGGTGCGCGCAAGCTTGGGTGGCCCTTGGGTTCTGAAGGCTGCGCGCCAAAAGGGGGGGACCCGGTGGCTGGCGTTCTGGCGCGCGCGCGGTGGGAGGCCCATGGGGCGCCGTGGGGCCGTGGGCCCTCTAGGTACGCGCGTGCATGCGGGGTCGCCGGGGCCCTTGTCTGGTGGCCCCATGCTGCCGGTGACCCGGCGGCGGCGCCCCAAGGAAGCGGGGACCTGGCGGCTGGCATTCCGGCGTTTACGCGCGCATGTATTCGAGGGATGCAAAAACGCCCCTACCCTGGGTTACAGGCGCGTGGCCCGTCAACCTCCTGGGAGCTCCCAAAGGCCAGAGTGCCGCCAGGACGCCGCGCGACACGCGCGACACGCAGGGTTTACCCTGTCAGACCACAGAAAGTTCAGCGCACAGCGCCTCGTAAACTAGGGTAGGGGCGTTTCTTACGCTCTTGATGCACGGGAGGCCCTCGGGGTGCTGGGGGGCGGTATGTCCTTCGAGCATGCGCGTGCACGCGGGGTCCCCGGGGACCCCGTCTGTCGGCCCTGCGCCGCCGGCGGTCGTCGGCGGCGCGCCCGTTGGCGGCGCACCGGAAGGGGGGGTGCCTGCTGGCTGACACTGCAGCGCCTGTGCGCGCATCGCCACGCCTCGCCACAACATCTCGCTCCTCGCCCCACGCTGCGACGACGAGCGCGACGCGCTTAACAGAAAAGCGGGGCGCACGGAAACAAGCACGGAAGGAGGTTTGGAGGCGCGGGGCGAGGCGGGGGGAGGAGCGGGCTTGAAACTGCCGTTGAAACAAGCCATTCGGGCAGATACTCCCTTCAGAAATGTCCCAACTGATGAAAGTGGCTTGCAGGGTGCTGAGAAGCACTGCATGAGAAGGCAGCGGAACGCCAATTGTGGATCGGCCACGGGCATCACCACTGCCCTCATCAGATAAGGCATCCCCCAGGGTCTGAAGCCTCCGGGGCACATTCCTGAACCAACGCCTCAACGGCAAAACAGAATACGGTCGTCGGGTAGCTTCGCGAGCCCCAAAACGCAATCAGGGTTCCGCGATCACCAGATTGTCACCAGGGTCGATGTCCGACAGTTCTGCGGCCCGACACGAGGCACCGGCAGCCCGGGAAACCACGAAAAACAGAACTGCGAAGCTCAAGTCTTGAAGAGCGACGCTGGGGTCGCCAACGCGCCTGCGCGGCACGAAACTATCGTGATTGGGCTGTCTTGGGCGGCTCTGGGGGGGCCGTCTTTGGGCTCCTTTGGGC